TTTTTAATGTTATCTCTACTTGTGTTCAATAAGATGTTTTTGTTTACTTTTTAAATGCCATGAATTTATCAGGGACCTGATCAACCATTTCAAAACTGTTTTAAATTAGAAGTCGATTTTTAACAGCTTACCTGCTGCATTGTGCTTATGATATTCAATAATTTCAGGAATTGAACTGAAAGCGTGCTTCTCTGCGAGGTAATACTTCTTTGGCAATGTTGTTGTTTCCTTTATATGATAATGCCTGAAACCTGAGGACCCTTCTCTGTAACAAGAAATAAAATGTGTCAACTAAATTGGAATCATGCAACGTGGTTCTTAAGAGGTTTCCCCCCAAAAGCACATTTCCTTCCTGGTATAAATTCTCCTGGGCCCCGTGCTCTTCTATACTTTGCTTTCCACCTGAGCAGGAGGAACGTTTTCATGCATTGTTCACCAGCAACAGACTTGGCTGGTGAAAGAGAAGATTAGCAGCCCCAGCATCAGGTGAGCACTTCAAAAGAGAGATTAGCTTTTTATTCCCCTCTGGTAAATGTGGACACATCTCCTTACTCCACTAAAAGTGAATAAATTAAACAAGCAAAGGTGAAAATTCCATGATCATGATCTCTCTAGAAGATACACCTTTTCCTATTATCTCTTGCTAAATCACCACTTCAGAATAACCCCCATTGCTCCCAGGGACAAAGCTTACGTTCCTTCTGGTGACCACAACCTGGTCTCTCGCCTCCCTTTACTCGGCCCTGCCCACAGCACCGAATACACTTGTTTCAGTTCCCCACACTCAGGACATCCCTGCACCTGGGGGCTCTTGCACCCTGAGGAGTGCAGTTTCTAGCAACAGAAACTCTCCCGACCCTCCAGTCAGCTTTCAGTTTGGATGCTTCCTAGGAAACCTTTCAGGACTAACTCAGATATAGCTGGGCGCAGATCACTAAGGCTGCCTACTTGCTTATCCGTAGCCACTAAGCTATTTGAGGGCAGGTCTGGGTCTACGATGCTCACTGTGCTATCTTCCCCAATCCTCACTGCCATCAAAGTGCTTCTGACATGTAGTCCACCCTATAGGATGGAGCAGAACAAGCCCTGTAGGTTTCTGAGACTGTAACACTTTACAGAAAGCCTCATTTTTCTCCCACAGAGCAGCTGGTAGTTTCGAACTACTGACCTTGCAGTTAGCAACCTAATGCATAAACTACTACGCTAGCAAGTCTCAAGTGTTTAGCATATACCCACAGGCATGGAGTCAAATTCAATTCGTGGTGCTCCTACATAGGGTCCCTGAGTCTGTGAATCTTTACAGGAGCCAACAGTATCACCTTTTCGTGTGGAGCAGCTGGTGGGTTTGAGCACTGAGCTTAAGGCTAGTATCCCACTGCCTCACCCATAGCATCACCAGAGCACTCAGCATAGTGCATAATCACTACATAGTGACTCTTACTGAAGATTCTAGTCATTCTCAGTGACATACGTACACACACACACACACACACGTTGTGGGTAAAATACTGAAAACACAGATATCAAAAAATAGGATAGGCTTTAGAAATCAAAGTCGGATTTCCTTTTAAAGGCTGAAATGTAGCACCATTTTTTTTTTGCAAAGTATGAAACTAAACAAACTCCATTGGAAGTCCATACAATAATTTGAAATTAAAAAACAGAACAGGTCTACTTACCCTCCAAATTTTGTATAAAGAGAGACTGTATACAAGCCTGGCTGACTGGAGTCTCTTACCATGAAACCACCTTCTTTGTCCTAAAATTCAAAGGGATCATTTTTGAAATTTCAGTGAAAAATATTAAAACCTAGAAGAAAAATCCCAGAACCCGATCTTAGGATCTTAAGATTAGTCTCCTTGGCTGGAAGATCTGCTTTAGAGTGGCATGTTTTACCAACAGGGCTCATGGACTCTCCAATGTGTTTGAACTTCCTACCAGTCTTCACATTAATTGGCCATGGAATTCATTAAAAATAAATACACACACTCACAATTCCCAACAACCACAAACTACCATGCCACACACTGCTGTGACATATTCCAGCAAGATAATTTCTAAGGATGTCCCCACCATACCAACAGACAGGATTCTCACAATTCCTCTAGGTCCTAAATGTGTGGAAAAACAGTTATAAAAATGATATTTCTTAGTGACCGGGTTTCATTTTATATACTTCTCAGTTCTAAGCTTTGAGACTTGACTCGGTATCATTTTCATCCTCATCGTATTTTTCTTGCAAATGTCTCGGTGTTTTTTTATGAGAACCTAATTGAAAATTCTGAATCCCCTTGGTAGGCACCGTCTAGTTTCACTCTTCATAGCAGAATTGCTGAAGACACAGGGCGCTCATGCAGAAAAAAATCAAAGGCAGGAACGACACTAGATGCCTGGAGGATAAATACCTCTGAAGTTTCAAACTGCAGATCAAGAAATAAAAGTCACAAGCCTCAACTACTTCTCCACTCAAAACAAGACAGTCTGTTGCATTAAAATTTACATAGGATGAAAAGTATAATTTATCATTGGAAAAGAAAACACATTTTATTCTTAGCCACGCATGGAATTATGTAAGGCCCCACCAAAGCATCTGTAAGAACAATTAGGGACACTAACTACTTTATTAGTTATGTAAACAAAAAACCCAAATTCACTGACATTGAGTAGACTCTCACTCTTAGCAGCCCTAAAGGAGAGAACAACATTGCCAATGTGGGTTTCCCTGTCTGTAACTCTGGACAGAAGTAGAAAGCCTCGTCTTTCTTCCACGGAGCATCTGGTGGATTCGAACTGTTGGCCTTGTTTCCAGCAGCCCAGTCCGTAACCCACCATGCCACCAGTACAAAAGAATAACAATCACCGATTTAGTGAAAAGCGTAACGTTTGCTGTTGTTGAATTGATGTTGACTTCTGGGGACCCCAGGTATTACAGGTGTTACACTGTAGAACTGCACCACAGTGTTGTCTTGGCTGTAATTTTTTTATCATTATTCAAAGATCATTTTATTGGAGGCTCTTACAGCTCTTATAACAATCCATACATCAATTGTATCAAGCATACTTATCCATATGTTGCCATTATCATTTTCTAAACACTTTCTTTCTATTTGTTGGTGGGAATTTTGTATGAAAGTAGATTGTAGGTCTTTCTTCCACAAAGCCTCTGAGGGGGTTGGAAGTGCCAGCCTTTCAGAGTATGGTCGTGTGCAAAATCTATTGGTACCCCTGAAAAACTCCAAAACAAGCAAAGGCTCACTGCCGTCAAATCTATGCCAACTCGCAGCGCCCCCGCAGGCCAGGCTAGAACTGCCTCTGTGTATTTCCGATCCTGTAATTCTTCACTGCAGTAGAAAGCCCCGTCTTTCTCCAGAGGAGCTGTTGGTAGTTTTGAACTGCTGACCTTATGGTTTGCAACCTAACTCATCACCACACCAGTATAGCTCATTTTGTACTACCTAGGCCCCTTTAAAAGGATGACATTATTGATTGAGAATGTATTCTATTTTAATAGGCTCATGCATTTAATCATCAAAATGAGGTAGGTTCTCGTGTTAGCTCCACCTTACATCACAGATAATGTGAATAAGGGACACAGAAAGGTAACATAACTTGCCCCACATCACACAGAGGCAGTGCCTCCTTGGAAATGCCATTGAAGAGGCCCAGAGCCTGGGGAGGATCAGGCCTACTTACATGTAATTTGAATCAAGCAAATTCACCCTGTTCTGTACTTTCTTTGGGGCACTCGGGTGTAGCAAGCTATCTGCCGAGCTGCTTATGGCAAGGTCTGCTGTTAGGAACCACCAGCCACTCTTTGGGAGAAAGACAAATGAGGCTTTCTACTCCTGTAAAGAGCTGCAACCTTGGAAACTGTGGTAGTTACATAATCTGAGGATTCAGAGTGAGGGGGTGGAGTGTAGCCTGTCAATCAAGTAGTAGCTTGATGACCTCATTTGGAGGCGCTATGGAGATAAATAGCTCACTGGAGGCAGGACACATGCAAGACATCCCTGTGGAGAAGACATATGGAGAGAGGCTGATGGGGCCAGACCTCTGGAGCCAGAGAAGCCAAGTGGAGAGCCCTGCCAGTGTCGAGATGCTTACAATGCCACTGGATCCACAAGACTTCCCACACACCGGCCTGCCATCTTCCTGCATTTGGTGTCAATGCATGTGTTTCATGAATCTGAAGAGGACTTCATAGACTGTTATTGGACATATGGGCTAATATCAGACTTATGGACTTGATCTGGACTGGGCTGGGATGTTTTCTCAATATTCAACTGCTCTTGTATATAAAGCTCTTTCTTATACACATATGAGTGTCCATGAATTTGTTTCTCTAGTCTACCCAGACTAACACACAAACCCACAAGAGCAGTTCAACCCTGTCCGATAGGGTTCTTACGGGTCAGAATGAACTTGATGGTAATGAGTTGTTTTGGTTTTTTGTTGTTGTCTTACTTTCTGCACATAAACTACAGAAAACAGCAGCTAACAAAATCTCTACTGGTGGCAAAAAGCAGGAGATAAATTAGAAAGCAAGGCTTTAAAGATTGGGAACTATACCATTAGTAAGTAGCATAACTAGACTGTAAATGAAAAGGCTGTTTTTGATCCTACTGCCTTCTCTTGCAGACACGGAAGCTCACCCAGAAAGGCTGAGGTGGGCTCTCTCAGCAGCCCACTGCCACTCTCTCCCTGCTGCGCCATCGCTTGTTGCTTCTCTCCTTTTGAAGTGTAAGGTGGTCAACACTCTGATTTCTTAAGGCAGCTTAATATCACACTGAAACCCCTTTTGGTAAGAGATAGATTTCAGCTAATGTCAAGCTACAGGATTTGAAACCGAAAGACACCATAAAGAGACACCTAACGTCGTCCAGAGAAAGGACATCTCTGTGTCTGCTATGATACTGATGAAGCATGAAAACCGGACAAACACTATCCGGGCCTCCTCTAGGAAACATCCCAAACAGGCAAAGGCATAGAGTTCAAAGTTTATTAGTGGTTACTGTAGGGGGTGGGACAGTGGAATGGGGAAATATTGCTTACAGGCTACTCAGTCTCTGATAAAGGCAGTGAAAAGGTTTGGAAACACATAATGGTGATGCTTGTACAACAGGGGGAAGGTAAATTTTGCTACTAAATTGCGTGTGTCAAGCTGGTTGGAGTGACAAATGCTTTGTTATACACATTTTACCAAAGTAATAATAATACTAGAGCGTCGTGCAGAAAGGGGAAACACTTCTAACGATTAAAATCAAAGAAGCAAATGATAACTCATTAGCAGAGAGAATAGAGGAAAAAAAGTCACCCAGGATATAAAGCATACCTGTGTCCACATCTAATTCATTAAATGAATGAATAAAAGCAAAATTCAACGTTACTGACGGTCTGGTGACTTCTCTGTTTAGGCGTTGAGCACACAGAGGACAGAAGCACTCCCGAGGGAGCTGGGGAGGGACCGTGGGTGCAGACCACACCCAGGGGACACGCAGGAGCACTTACTTCATTTCGCAGGAGCTGCTCGGCCTTGCTTCTGTTCGTGTTCCTGCAGTACCACCTGCACAGAAAAGCTACACTGAAGGCTTTGGGCGTTCCCACCATGGCTTTCATTCTCTTCAGGAGGAGCAAAGCCATATTCCTCAGCAGTAGCACATACAAACAAGCAAGCGTCACTTGCAATGTCAATAACAAATGACTAGAAACATTTCAATGAGTTTAATTCGAGACCTTTTGCCTACTCATATTTTACATACATACATTTCTCCTCCATTTTTATTAAAGTGGGATCAAACTACACTTGCTATATCCTCATCTGAAATTTTCATAGACCAGGAGATAATGGACATCTTTGCAAATCAATATGGTTCTCTCTATAAAATTGTGTAGCTGTGTCATGATGTCCTTAGGCCATTCTTCATTGCTCTACAGAAAGATCAGTTCTACCATTTTCACTACTATAATTACAGCAAAAAAGAATGTTATTCCTCGGACTCAAACCTGCAGACAATGTCATTTTCCAATATTGCCTTTAATTCAGATTGAATCTTAACCCTCCCCTCCATCCCACCAGGGGTGGGAAATTCACACATCCTTAGGGACCACACTGGTTTAATAACCTTTGAAGGCTCAGGGCCTATGGCCAACGTGAAGAGTCCCTGGCCCATTAAAAATTCATCTCAAAAAGGTGAAACAAAATAAGAGTTCAAAGCTGAAGGCCAAACACAGCGGTCTGGGTGTCTTTCCATGGCTGTTGGCCAATTCATGGGGCTGTGCTAGTGGAAGCCTGCTCTGGACAGAGGCACGGGCCTTCCCACCTGAAGCCCACCCTCAGTACAGCTCAGGAGACTCACAGAGTAGGAAGGGAGTCCCTGAGAAGACAGACAGTTTCCAAATTGAGATCGATCCCCCAAACTCCTGGCAATGGATCCTAAACCTTGTTCTCTAAAAATCTGCCATTGAATTTCTGGGCATCATAAGAGAAGTTTAGATGAGAAGTGTCTTCTTCTTCCTTCCAATTCTGTCTGCAAATGATCACTTAGTGCTCAGTCAGCCTGCCTTAACATCAAGCCCCCGTTTTCACCTCTTAGCATCTGCCCTAACGATGGATATTGTGATATTTTCCCAAGATGCCTTTAGGAACAAAAGGACTGATTTACCTATTGTTCAAATGATCAGTGCTGTGACTTTGAGCCCATCAGTCCTTCTCTAGACCGTAAGGGGCACTCGTGTGACAAACAGTGGCATAGACAGAGGAAGAGACTGGGTTGGCGTTCTCTCTTGATGAAATGAGTAAAGCATCAAGAAAGTGACTTTCTCCGAATGACCACAAAAGAGTGTTTGGCAAACATGCACCTTGCATTAAAGCCACCCAGCCACTCACTGCTAGTGGGCAGGGACCACTAAACTCTTCGGGGAAAGCAATTAGGCAGCATGTGGCAGCTCATTAAAAGAGAGCAAAACCCCCAAACGCTGCAATCAAGTCTACTCTGAACCATGGTCATCCCATCAAGGTCGGTGTAAAACAATGCTCCAGAGCATAGTTTTCAATGATTTTTTTTATTAAATAAGGCATTTCTTCTATGGTGCCTCTAGGTAGACTTGAATCTCAGCCCTTCTGAGGACCAGCTGAGAGCATTGACTATTTGCTCCATGCAGCAACCTCGGATCCTTTCATACATAGATCAAAAAAGATCATACTTAGCCTTTACCCTAATACTTAGGTTTTAGAGATCTATCATAAGCAGATAACCAGAAAGAGGTTCTGCTTGTCATTTTTATATAATACGATCCCTAAAACAACCTAGTGCAAGCCCACCACTGAGCACTCAGGTATATATTCATGTATCCATAATAATAATATATTTCTATTATATTCAGAAAAAAACAATAAACATGTTTGGGTTTTGTTTTGTTTTGTTTTTTAAGAGGTTAGGAAAGATTTTATTGAGGCAGGGAAAGAACTCCTGGGAGGGAAGGGAGAGCGGAGAAAGGGACCGAGGTGCAAGCCCCGGGCGGTCCCGAGACCCAATGAGTTAGGTCTGGGGACTCGCATGAGTTTGTTTTTTTAAGGCCACTCTAGAAACTCTATTCCTGTTTCTTGAGTAAATGAGCCCATTCCTACCGAGGTGATTCCAGTTCCTGGTGACGCTAGAGGACAGAGGGGACTTGCCCACAGATGTCCATGGTTGAACATCTTTATGTCTCGAAGCAGATAGGTCCAACTGTCTCCTGTGGGTTTGAACCTTCAAACTTTTGGTTAGCAGCAAAACCCTGAACCACTGCCTCTGCCGCTGCCCCCCTTACTCCGCCCCAAGGACCCCCGTAGAAGAAACACATTCTCTTGTTTCTTAAGTCACATAAGCTGTGAATGTTAGCTTCTTCTCTGTGGTCACTGCTTAAAGCCCATTCCGTGGTATCTGCATTCACATATAGCACCTCCAGGTAAGGTGTGCTATAGGAGATCAGTCTCACAAGGCCTTGTACTGCACCAGGATATGTTGGCAATACCTTTTGTAAAAATCATTTTATGGGGGCTCGTACAACTCTTATCACAATCCATCCACTGTGTCAAGCACATTTGCACATTTGTTGCCATCATCATTTTCAAAACATTTTCTTTCTACTTCAGCCATTAGTATCAGCTTCTCATTTTCCCCCTCTGTCCTTCACCCTCCCTCCCTCCCTTGATAATTTATAAAAATAAAAAAAAATTCGTGTCTTACACTGACTGATGTTTCCCTTCACCCACTTTTCTGTTCTCCATCCTGGGAGGGGGTTATAGTTAGATCATTGTGATCGATCCCCCTTTCTCCCTCCACCTTACCATTCCCCTCCTGGTATGGCTACTCTCAAAATTGGTTCTTGAGGGGTTTATCTGTCCTGGGTTCCCTGTGTTTTGAGCTCTTATCTGTACCCGTGTACATGCTCTGGTCTAGCCGGATTTGTAAGGTAGAATTGGGATCATGATAGTGGGGGGAGGAAGCATTAAAGACTAGAAGAAATTGTATGTTTCCTCGTTGCTATGCTGCACCCTGACTGGCTCTTCTCCTCCCCGCAACCCTTCTGTAAGGGGATGTCCAACAATGAGAAATATCTACTGATCCTCAAACTGCCTTATGGAGTTAGGAAAATGAAGAAAGAGCATCTACTCACTCATATTGGTCTAAGTTGCTGGCCTTCTTCGGTGTCACGTAGTTACTGGGGATATAGCCTTCGCTCCTAGAAGGAAGACAGACTGCAGATAAACTCTGCCACGGCTTCCTGAGGGCTTTTTAAGACGAACAAAGATGATTCCCTTCCTGAGTAACTGAAGCATCATTTCCCCTAAAGGTCATGTCTGTACGAGAGCAGACTCCCAGCAACAGAGAGTTGGCACTGGGGGTGGGGTGAGGCACTGGGCGTTGGGGTAAGAGCTCAGAACCAACCCGAGTTTGGATTTCAGGAGTAAGCACGGGAAGCTGGTTTCTTAATAAAGCGTAAAAGAGGCTTAGGTCTGTTTACGCACATATTTAACCAGAAAGAGGTTGAAAGGACTCACTGTTTCCTTTACATCTTAAATTATCTTCTCTTTTCCTTTCTATCTAGTATATAAATCAGTGTTTACCAAAGTGGGCACTATCACGTCCTGCAGGTTGTAGAACCATCCAGAGGAGCTGCAAAAGAAGCTTTATCTCGGATGATGGGCAAGACTACAAAAGTTTCTCACCACCAGGGGGCGCCTAGTAATTCTCCCCACCCACCCACCCCCCTGAGAAAAGAAGACAGCAGGTTCAATACACTTGGGAAGGTACGAATGAAGAGTGCTTGCTGTTTAACTCCCTGCGTGTGCGCGTGTCTGTGGTGCGTGGGGTGGCTATGGTGGAACCAATCCCACGGCACCGAGCAGCAACAATGATACTATGTGTCCACTGAGACCTGTGAACACAATGTATATGTTAACAATGATGCTCATGTTATCCTCTGTACCTCACACTCATGTTAGGGAGGGCGGTATACGGTACAACGTCCTCTCAAGTCAAAATAATGAAATAAAAGTTATCACAGACGAGGAAGAGACGCGTGTATTTTAATTTCAGAACAGAGAGGTTTGATTGACTTACATGTGTTAACTGACCATTAATGGATATATGGTGGTACTTCGAAGTCATAATGTGCACTTTTCTTTCCATTCAGCTGATCCAGTGTCATTGCACGACAGCACAGAGTGTGTCCTCGTCTCACTCAAGCTCCACCAACCCACTGTGTGTCACACACACACACACACACAGAATACTTACCCATATTTATCTCTGGCTCTCCACCAATGGACATCATTCTTTTCTAGTATAACATACTCTTGGCCTCTCTCTAATCGGAGGTCATGTGCTTCCGTTGCCTGGAAGTCATACATCGCCACCACGATGTCTTCACTATTCTCTTCTTCTTCAGGAGGAATTGGTGGGGGAGGCCTTCGCTAAAGAAGGAAAATATTGTTTGGAAGTTCAGATGTTTGCTTAAATTGGGCATGGAGCAAAGCCCTCAATGATTCACACTTCACAAAATAAAAGAGAAACCGCACATCAACATGAAGTTACCCCTCTCATGAGCTTGAAGATGATCCTACTGGCTTTTTGATGAACAAAAGTGCTATTAAATAGAACATGCTTTTGCTTCGTGTCAGGGAGTGTTTCAGGAAGAGGAGTGGGCAATATGCGAACAGGGGCCAAGAGGACTATCGGTAGACCCACCATGCAAAAGGTCTGCCAGAAAGACAACTCACTCCAGATCCTTTTATCAGGTCTTGGGGGGAAAGATGAGACTTTCTGCTGCTAGAAAGGTTAGCAGCCTCGGAATCCACAGAGGCAGTTCTACTTGGTCCTACAGGGCTGATGAGAATCAGCATTGACTCAATAGCTATGGGTTTGGAGAATTTTCTTCCCACTCAAAAGAATGTATACTCCTATACTCCTTTGTGCCATTGATGAAGGAGTTCTGGCCATCTGCTAGGATAAGACTGTTAAATACGAGACTGGTGGTTCAATTCCACCTGCTTCTGTGAGGCAGAAAGATGAGGCTGCCTGTGCTGAGAAAGACTGACCACCCCAGAAACCCTACTATGAGTTGGAATGAACTCGATGGCAATGGGTTTGGTCTGGTGTTTTGTACCTACTATGAGCAAGGCACACTGCTTAGTACCTAACACTTCCCCAACCCCCTTATCCATGCTTGCTTGTTTTGGGTTTTTTCCCCAAAACCATTTTATTGGGATTTAACACAGATATCATATTCCATCATTCAATCACCTCAAGCAGTATTGTACAATTGCTACCACAATCAATTTCAAAATATTGGTTTCCTTCCTGAACTCCTTGCCATCAGCTCCCTTTTAGCACTGTCCCTCCACCCCACCCCACCCCCACCCTCACCCTGGACCACCACCACCACTACCGTATCCCTCAGAAAGCCTTATTCTACTTGCTGTTCCTATAGTTTCATCAATCCTGGGTTTCACATACTGAAAAACAGACATACATATAACGAAGAGTCAAGAGGTTGACCCCCAATGACATAACACATCTGAAATAAACCCCAATATGAACAAACAAAAAGAAAAAAAAAACAGAAAATGTTGAAAACCAGATCAAGCCTAACAGGCATCAGAGAGGGGATCAACGGACAAAATTTTAACCATTCAAGTCAGGTTTATAATTTTGATCTCCTATAATCATCTCTCTAATGCACTCTATTTGGTAACCACTTTCTTCCCATCCCTCTGTAATGGACAAAGAGAAATCACTGGAGGCTTATGTCCTGTGTAGATCCTACAAATGTATCTTGGGCTCCCACTGTCATCCATGGCCTTCTACAAACCAGATTCTCACAATTTAGGCTCTGATACCATTCCCTCCTTTGACTTTGAGTTACAATCCTTCGGTGACGGATGTGGGTGTGCTTCTTCCCTGTAGACTTAGTTGACATCTCACTTAGATGGCTCTTTGCTTGGAGATAAGCCTTTAAGACCCCAGATGCTACTTTATCTGATAGTGGGCACCATCTAACTTCTTCACCACACTTTGCCATAGCACCCATACCTTCTGTGTACCCTTCCCGAGGGTGAGTATTGAGCAGGGCCATGATGTAAAACCTAATTGTTCTGAAGTTGGAGCTAGGATTTAATGCGAGCCCAAAATTCATTCCGGGATCTATGTTGTTGTTTTCAATCTGCCTTTGGGTCCCCTAGGATTTTCATTTTGCAGTTCAGAAAACAATCTAAGGAATCCAACGAAGTCCCTCCTATCAGACTCAAGACTGGGTGCCGCCTGGTCTCAAGTGCATGCTCTTCTCCCCACATCTCCCTCCTCCAAGGCACGGAGTCACCGAAGTCATCCTTACGCTTGAAATATTCCTTTAGCACCCACACTTCTTATAGAACTCTTTAAGCCAAAAGACAAGGCCACAGATCAATTAATATCATTTGACACCAAGACCCAATTCAAAAAAGCCACAGCCCATCTACGCTTGATCATAACTGTGATCCTGGGGGAAACCAGCTGTCATAGGAATGAACACAAACGCTCTCAGCAAACCACAAATGCTTCCAGCAGGTCAAGGCCCCTTACCTTCTTTATTTCTGGGGCTGGAGGTAGTGCTTTTCTTATACCTGAAAAGGACAACAATGAAAACCGGATCAAAAATGGAACCTCCGGACCATCCACAGAATGAGATCGTGGTGGCTTGAAGGAGAACTGCAGAGTGGGCCCCGAGACGACACGCCTGCTGCTCCTGCTCTCAGTCGGGGGCTGCTTGCTGATCCCACCCTCCTGGAACAGAACTCGCCCCGCTGGTCTTTATTTCAGAGTCAGCTTGTCTTTCTGCCCTCCTAAATAGACTGGCAATGCCACCAGGATTTGTCATTTTTCTTTGCATTCGCCACCACTGTATATGTCAGACGTTCCACATATCAGGTCGGATCCACAGGAAATAGGAAAAAGGAACAAGAACACACAGGAAGATAAACAAGTTGGGTCAGTCTCATCTCTAGTCTACAGTACTAGAGTTCTGGCGAGCACTTGCACCCAGCTGAAGATATGATTTCCCAGTTAGATGTGGCAGCCATGGGGCCAAATTCACATTAAAAGGCTCTGTGCACAACTGTTGGCATCATTTTCAGATTCCACCTTTAAAAGTTTCCCCTTGGACACCCATGGCCACTTTACTCCCTCGTTGCTATCAGGAAGAGAAAGTTAGAACTGAAGCAGATTCCTACCAGCCCTGGGCCAAACACCACCGAGGGGTTATTACATGAGATTGAAAGACATTTTCTCTAGTTGAAGACACTTTTTTTGTTGTTTTGTATTTTACAGCAAGTTAGGATTTTACACAAATGACTAAGCCTTAAGGGGAAAAAATTTAAGAATATAAATAATAGCCTTAGACACTTGGGCTTTCATTTTAATGTGCTAAAGTAATGTTAGGCCATCAAAGGAAAGTCACATAGCCAGCACTCAGACTTGAGGGCTGGATAGACCAAAAAAGTCATCTGGCCCGGCCTGGTGCACAATGCAGCATCCCTAGAGCACAGCAATTTTACTTGTATCCAGAAGCTTGGTCACGCGGATGTAGTTGACACAGCAAGCATCTTGCATCTTGCATCATGCAAGCAAGAATGAAAAAGTGTGGTATATGTGATAGCTAGACTGTGTGTCAACTTGGCTGGGTTAGTGTTCTCAGTGATTTGGTAGTAATTCCTGAGATATGATATAACACAATGTAATTAACTCCATGATGGGCTCTAGCATCACAGAATCAACTCTGTGAGCAGCGAGGAGATGTGGTGGAATGCAGCCTCCTTGATGAGGTCACAACCTGGATGCAATTGGAAGAAAGGTACCTCAGGGATGTGGTCTGATCCTTTCTTAAGCAGACTCTTTGGGAAAGCTTTACTTCTACTGCAGCTGGATCCTGTATTCTGGTTTGTCAACTTCCTGCCATATTGCATCCTGATCCCGGGAGCCATCAGCGGACTGCTAACCGTGGATTTCACTTTGCATCCACCAGTCTGTGGTCTTCCTGCTTCCTAGCCCATAGTTACACGAGTCAGAAGAAACTTCCACTTAATGGCTGACCCATGGACTTGGACTGGACTGTATTTACCTGAGCCATTTCTTGATATAAATTTATTTCTATACACATATACAGATAAGCATCACTGGTTTTGCTTCTCTTGAGAACCGCTTAACATAGCATATCAATAATTGTTGTTTTTGCTGCTCCCAAATTGACTTCTGACTCATGGAGACCCCAAGCACAACTGGGATCAGATCATTGTGAATTATATGGCTTTCATTGACTGATTTTTGGAAGTAGGTTTTCAGGTCTTTTTTTGTTTTGTTTTCCTTCTAGTCTGTCGTAGTCTGGCAGCTCCACTGAAACCTATCCACATCACAGCAACAGCTAGCCTCCACTGACAGACAAGTAGTGGCTGTGCTCAAGATGCACTGCCCAGGAATTGAACCTGACGTCTCCCACACTTGTTGCTTGCTGAGTCGATCTTACTCACAGCGACCCTATGCACAACAGCAGAAAATCTTGCACCATCCTCACAAGGCCACCACCTTTGAGCCCATAGTTGCAACCACTGTGCCAAATCATATTCTCCTAGATGGAACATGAGGATTCTGCCATGAGCCCGATCCACTAACCCACTAATCATGGGTCTTCTCAGAGCAGCAACAAAGTTGAATCTCTGTGTATACGTAGCTTACACCTAAGTGTGATTTTTACTTCAATGATTTGTAATAGATTTGTGTACTGTTCATCCATACCTGGGTATCATTGTGAACACCTTATTGATCCAAAAGTCTGTGAAGCCAATGCTAAAATCTACTACACCCCATAGGGGTGACAATAACTCCTGCTCAGCTAATAGATGCACCGTGGCTGAGGTTTCTAGCTACACACCTTGGAAAGCTTGCTTGCTGAAGAGGACACAACCATGTCTCACCGTCTCCCTAACCATCAAAGTGAAGACAAGCTGCTGAGGGTGCTGCAGTGGGTTTTGGTGTTCCGTAGATTCAGTTTTAGCAAGCTTAAACGTGGAATTACAAGTTTTCCTGAACAGAACTTTGAATTTTCATGAGGTAGTCCCTTGCTAATGATAGTCTTACAATTTAGTCTCACAAAATACGCCAACTTACACTTACAGTGTGCTAGAATGCATGCAGGCCACACTTAATCAAAATAAAATCGTTTATACACAATTTTCTAACTGCTTGACAAAGTAATCATGCATCTTTCTCGCCATATGGACAGAACATACATTCATAATTATAGACGAAAACAAATACTTACTGCTCTCAAAAAGATTGTATTTTTCACATCCAGGTGCTAGTTTTTCCGTTTGTCTGCAACACTGATAACTTCCATCGGCCCAAAATTTAGGGTGATATTTAATCATAATGTTGTTGTTGTTCTTTATTTCTGTAATTCACAGATCCAGTCATCGTTAATGGGACAAAGAAGGTGACAGGATATTTTCTTTTCTTTTTTTTCTTCAGTTTTTGGTTTTCTTTTTTTTTAAGGGCTCATACAACACTTACCACAGTTCATACACACATCAATTGTGTACAGCACATTTGCACAGTCATTGCCCTCATCATTCTCAAAACATTTGCTCTCCACTTAAGCCCCTGGCATTAGGGCCTCATTTTTTCCCCTCCCTCCCTGCTTCCCCCTCCCTCATGAAGCCTTGATAATTTATCAATTATTATTTTGTCATATCTTGCCCTGTCCGACGTCTCCCTTCACCCACTTTTCTGTTGCCCGTCCCCCAGGGAGGACGTCACATGTAGATCCTTGTAATCAGCTCCCCTTTTCCAACCCACCCTCCCACTACCCTCCAAGTATCGCCACTCACACCACTGGTCCTGAAGGGATCATCCACCCTGGATTCCCTGCGTTTCCAGTTCCTATCTGTACCAGTGTACATCCTCTGGTCTAGTCAGACTTGCAAGGTAGAATTCGGATCATGATAGTAGGTGGGGAGGAAGCATTTAGGAACTAGAGGAAAGTTGTATTTTTCATCTTTGCTACTTCGTATCCTGACTGCCTTGTCTCCTCCCCGAAACCCTTCTGTAACGAGATGTCCAGTGGCCTACAAATGGGCTTTGGGTCTCCATTCCGCACTACCCCCCTCATTCACTATGGTAAGATTTTTTGTTCTGATGATGCCTGATACCTGATCCCTTCAGCAACTCGTGATCACACAGACTGGTATGCTTCTTCCATGTGGGCTTTGTTGCTTCTGAGCTAGATGGCCACTTGTTTACCTTCAAGCCTTTAAGACCCCAGATGCTATATCTTTTGATAACCGGACACCATCAGCTTTCTTCGCCACATTTGCTTATGCACCTGCTTTGTCTTCAGCAGGATATTTTCTAAAACAATCCTGACTTATTCCTCAGCTACCACAACAGCTCATGACTGGGCATTCCAAAAAAAATCACCTGGTTCTCACTCACACCCTTTTTTGATGGTGTGTTCTAATTACTAGATGTTAACTGCTACTGGAACATGATGGAAAAACGCAAAAGTCAGCCAACCAGTATCCCTCCCCATCCATAACACGCCTTGTGATGAGGATTGTATAGAACAAATTACCCAATTCAACACTTTCCATACAAGCAAACCACTGACTTCTTGAGTAAATGCCAACTACATGAGCTAGTTCTTTGAAAATACCATATCTTGTTGATACTAAAAGCCCAGCACTGTACCACCTTCAAACATATGGTATCTTACATCAGAGCATCATTTTCTTAGAAACATTTTAAATGCCACTAGGAGGAACTGGTTATTTAAAAGGGAAATTATGGTCAAGGTGATAATATCACTTACAGTAAGTCCTTGGAGATTAATGGATGATAAATACAGTGGGTACCGTTTCCATACTTTAGTTTTAGTCATAGCAATGCTATGTGTGAACATTCTGACCATTCATATTTCACAGATCAAGATTTCACAGTGGTTTTTATTTTTACCTTCTTTTAACTTCTTTACCCACCGGTCCCTGCTTTGTACAGTGGGTGCAAAAATGTAAAGCGTGTTAGCATCATGAACAACCTGGAAAAAAACATGAAGGAGTTAGTGAGACATGGACATAGCGTGTCTATCTAACACAGTGCCCTTCACACCATCCACCCAAACCTACCGCCAGCAAGTCCGTTCTGACTCACAGGGTCGACAGAGGACAGACTCTACGGTACCCCATGCAGAGTTTCTGACACTGTGCAGCTTTATGGAAACAGACTGCTTCAGCTTTCACTTTTCCCTCAATAAAGTGGGTGAGATTGAGCTGCCAAGTGCTTTAGCTCTGTGCCACCAGGGCTCCCTGTTACCTCAGGCACTCAATATCAATTATTACCAAGTGACAGATTAAACATCAATTATATCTATTTCTTACTTTCCACATTCAGTGAGTACACGTATTGCAAAGGCTTATGCTTCCATAGAAGACACTGGCCAGGCTGGTTCCCACATCTCGGGGCTTCTGCTAATCCTTAGATAAACTTGGTGTAATAGGGAAGCTTCTACTCCAGTGTTTTTTCAGAATTATGTATCTGCTAAATGGGCTCCATTTTCAGTATCACATCTCTTGCCGCAATAAATCAGTACAGTGGCTAACCGGTTACACAGAATCTGAAAAAGGGACTCCGGAGAGTGAGCCATTTGAACTGTGGTAAAATTAAGCCTGGGACTTGAACTCCAGGAATTTTCTTCCTTTGGTCTGTCAGTTTGCCCTTAACGGCCAGTTCCGTGAGCCTGTGACTGGTGTGTTTTAAAATGAGCTAATCTCAAAAAGAAAAAAAATCCAAATACAGAATTTTGATAACTAAGACTAGTTTGGCACATGATGCTGCTAACTCGGGCCGCGGCATTTTTATGAGGCATTTCTAGACATGGCGCCGTCGTCAGTGCCATTGAGCTGGTTCTGACTCGTAGAGACCCTGGGTACAGCAGAACAAACCGAGCCCAGGTCCACACCATCCTCTCAGGGGTTCTTCTGCTCGAGCCATCGATGCATGCAGCCCCAGTGTCAGTCCATCTTGTTGAGGACCCTCCTGGTTCTCATGATCCCTCGACATGACGAAGCATGGGGCCCAAAAAGTCTTTCACCATTTGAAATATCCCCTTCAGCGCTTGGATTTCATCATTTCTTATGCCTCCCATTTCATTTCTGATGACTTCCAAGTTTTCTAGATTCATACTTTATACATTCCAAGTTCTGGTTATTAACTGATGTTTGCAACTTTTTCTTCTCATATTGAGTTGTGACCCATCAGCAATGAATCAGCTTTACTCTTCCAGGGTTTACTCCATTTGCATCATCATGATCACCTTGACTTTGAGAAGGCAGCTCTTCCTCAGTTGCATTTTGAGTGCCTTCTGACCTGAGGGGCTCACCTTCTGGCCCCATCTCTGAAGATGTTCTGTTTCTATTCATGGGGTCTACCCTGGGGACATCACCCTTAAGTTCAAATAATAAATCTCAAATGCTGGCACCTTCCGCAGGTTGGCAGGCTGTTGGAAGAGAGATTTGAGGACTGGTATCCTTGTAGGTACTTTTATGTCGTTCCCATGTGCAGGATGAATGAGAGGCGCCACAACTCTCACGAGTTTCCCGCCTGGTGATAAGTCACCCCATCACAGCAGAAGCTGTCAGGGGAGGGGGCTTGGCACTGATGCCAGTTCCAACAAGGAGGAAGTACTCTCCCTTACTAATGCTATTAGCACATCCATACCCTACCTCTTATTTATAGCTTCATTCACACATTCATTTGTCAATGGACATTTAATGGCAGTGTGGTGGAGGAGAGATCAAACAGATGTTATATTTAGGCTCAAATCTTGCAAAGAAGCACAACCTCCTGAGGAATCCCCAGCTGCCAACAGAAATGACTGATCAAAGAAGTGACTCTCTAGGCAGCTGGCTCCTCCTTATTATCTCCATCCCTTCTGTGCAGTGTTGAGTCACCTGGCTAAAAGCAACTTGGCCTTTGGTCTTGAATCCAGAGTGCTGGACCACACCTGAGGCTAATAAGTGGGCGTTGACCAGACCAGGAGGAAACACCCAGGGGCCTGATGCTAAATCATGAGAGGCATGATTTAATTGACCATGGTCACATGGGGAGGCTTGTTAAGTTACTGGAAATCCTAAGGCTCAGATGAGATTCTCAGTTGTTGGCCATGTTCAGAAGAAGGCAGTGCACAGCTCTCTGGGATATGGAAGCACTGGGCTGGAACTCTGCTAGACCTCACCTTATGGATCTCTTCGCTTGGATTCTTTTTGGTTGAAATAAAGATGAAGCCATAAGTATGGTAGACTCTCTGTGAGGGTCTAAGTTTTTTCAGTAGAAGTATGGAATCTACAGAGGCAGTGAGAGACATTCAGGGGCTGACAATGGCCTATTTAGCAGGCTAAAAGATGTTCTTCTAACTTGTGAGCTCTGGCCCGGGTTCCTGGTAGCTCGAAGCAGACAGAGAGTGCTACGTGGGCCCCTGGCAAGGAGGAGGGAGAAGTAAGGTGAGGACTGGATTCATCCCCGTGATGTGAGGATCAGATTCATGCCGATCTTTACCAGGCTTTTAGCAACAAAGGCGAGACTTGGCTACTTTGCCCTTGATTAGGCACCTTCCTAATCAGATGCCATTGCATCAATTCCAATTTCTGGATTTTCGATGGTTGACTTCTTACTTTTTTTTTTATTTTTTAAACATTTTATTAGGGGCTCATACAACTGTTATTGCAATCCATACACACATCAATTGTGTAAAGCGCATTTGTACATCATTCTCAAAACATTTTCTCTCCACTTAAACCCCCGACATTAGGTCCACATTTTTCCCCTCCCTCCCCACTCCCCCCTCCCTCATGAGCCCTTGATAGTTTATAAATTGGTATTTTGTCATATCTTGCCCTGTCCGACGTCCCCCTTTACCCACTTTTCGGTTGTCTGTTGCCCAGGGAGGAGGTCACATATAGTTCCTTGTAATCGGTTCCCTCTTTCCTACCCACTCTCCCTCTACCCTCCCTGTTTCGCCACTCACACCACTGGTCCTGCAGGGCTCGTCCGCCCTGGATTCCCTGTATTTTCAATTCCTATCTGTACCAACGTACATCCTCTGGTCTAGCCAGACTTGCAAGGTCAAATTCGAGTCATGGTAGTGGGAGCGGGGAGGAAACATTTAGGAACTAGAGGAAGGTTGTATTTCTCATCATTGTTACATCGCACCCTGACTGGCTAATCTCCTCCCCGAGATCCCTCTGCAAGGGGATCTCCAGTGGCCTACTAATGGGCTTTGGATCTCCACTCCGCACTCCCCCCATCATTCACTATGGTAAGATTTTTTGTTCTGATGATGCCTTATACCTGATCCCTTCGACACCTCGTGGTTGCATAGGCTGGGGTGCTTCTTCCATGTGGGCTTTGCTGCTTCTGAGCTTGATGGCCGCTTGATTATCTTCAAGCTTTTAAGACCCCAGGCGCTATATCTTTTGATAGCCGGGCACCTCGATGGTTGACTTTTTAGAAGTGGATTGCCAGGACTTTATTTGGGGTCCCTCTGGGGAGACTAGAGCCTCCTAGCTTTTCTGTTAGTAGCTCAGTGCATTTGCACCACCAACATGGTCCTATCTTTTCCTAGTGGTGAGAATATACTTGGAGACAAGCAACCTCCACTTTCTCTTGGTAGCTTTGGAAAAGTTCTTTTATTCCTTTTTCTTTTCTTTTCTTTTCTTTTCTTTTTCACCCTTCCATTCTCTGGCATCTCGACCTAATGCAAACTTGCACTATTTAGATGGTAAAGTAGGATTTATGCTTTTTTGTTTTAATAAAAGAAGGATATTTTTCCCCTTTTCAAAATCTGCTGACTTAATTGCAATTAAGGCTGAAGTCTACCACTTCTCCATTTCTAAGACTGATTTTCATTCATTTCATATTTATTCATCTTGACAGTTAAAAATGTTTCAAGGCTGCAATGCTGTCTGTCATCCCTATTTGTATTATCACTCTTAGCCAATTTAGAGCTTACAACCTGGTTCCCTTGACTCGGACAACCAAATGACTGTTGTTTGCTGCTATCCAGCAGGCTTCCACGGACGCACGGTGCCTTTAGGTATAACGGAACAAAATGTTGCTCAGCTCTCTGCCATCTGCAAGATTGTTTGGTATTTTATCAAGCCCACAGTTGGTTGTGGTTATTGCAACTGCATCAGATAATATTCTCTTGCGACTCATAAGGTCTTCATTGGCCAATTTTAGAAGAAGTAGCTCACCAGGCTTTCCTTCCTAATTTTTCTTAGTCTGGAAGCTCCACTGAACCTGCCCACCATGGGTGGCATACTTTCCAGAATTATAGCAACATGCAAGCTACCTCCATTTCACACAGTACTATCACTGAGACAGCTGGCTTGAATTGGAAAAACAAATCCTCATTCTGAGCCCACAATAATGAGGCTCATATACTCCCCACCCACTGGCTCAAATATCTAACTGTCATCAGAAGTGTGTACGACTGACTCTCTGCTGAACTTCAGATGTAATACAACGCACACACACACACACACAGCAAATTGCATATATACTTAACATATGCAAATTAAAAGAGGATTTAAATATGACTTATTTATAGATCTGGGGATAAGTATATAGTGTTAACAGCAGAAACAGATGTAGTAGTAAAAGCAATAATAACAATAATAGAAACTAATAATTATCTTGTTTTTTCTTATAAGTTTAAGCTAATGATACACCACCTCAGTTAACTGCCACAATAACTCTCTGATGTGAGTGCTATTATTGTTATTGTTTTCCAGCGTCTGAGATGTGCTGAGAGGTAAGTGACTTGTACAAGGCCACAGAGCAGGTCAGTGACAGACTGTGCAGTTTGTACTCAGGTTATCTCTTTAATCGTTTTACTCTATTGTTCTACTGAGAAATGACAGATGTAAAATGAGAAATGAGAAAAGGAAAAGTAAATGTAGTCCTGCTTCCTCCTGTGTTGTTGCCACAATTGTTGCTGTTGGGTTTAGTGCTGTTACTCACAGCACCCTGGTCTACAACAGAACACCAAACTGCCTGGTCCTGGGCCGTCCTCATGCACAAGGTTATGTCTGAACCCATTGGTGCAGTCACAGTGCCAATCCAGCTCACTGAAGGTCTTCTTCTAGCTCGCTGACCCCAACCCATGATGAACTTCTCCAGGGACTGGCCCCTCCCGATCATTTGTTTAAAATAGGCGAGGCAAAGTCTTACTACCCTTACCAGTAAGGAGCATTCTGGCTGTACTTCTTCCAAGAAAGATTTATTTGTTCTTCAACTGTCCGTGGTCCATTTTTCAACAGTCACCAACACTGTAACTCAAGTGCATCAATCCCTCTTCAGTCTTACAAAGTCACTGTCCAGCTTTGACTTGCATATGAGGTGCTGGAAAGTGCCATGGCTTGGTCAGGCCCACCGGAGTCCACCAAGTGACCTTCAGCTTTCTAATACTTTAAAGAAGCCTTTTGCAGATCTTCCAATGGGTAGACCAGGTAGTTGTCTTCCAAATTTCTTGACTTAGTCAAGTGAGCATTTCCAGGGCTGCATTCAGTTGATGAACCATTTCAATGGGATTCCATCAATTCCTGGAGCCTTGGTTTTTGCTTTCAGTACATCTTGGATTCTTCCTCCAATATCATCAGTTCCTGACCCTCTTGAAATGGTTGAATGTCGACCAATTCTTTTCGGTTCAGTGGGTCTGTATATTTCTTCCATCTTCTTTAGATGTTTCCTACGTCATCCAATATTTTGCTCGTAGACTCCTTCACTATCACAACTTTGTGGCTTGAATTTATTCTCCAGCCTTTCCAGCTTGAGAAAGGCCATGCTGTTCTTCCCTTTTGGTTTCTAACTCATCTTTTTCACACTTGACTATGATACTTTGTCTTTGAGAGTAAGCCTCTGAAACCCTCTGTTCGGTCCTTTACACCACTCCTTCCAGCAGCGTTAGCAAGCTTCAGTCTTTGCTGACACTCATTCGGGTCTTTTCCTTCCTTCATTTGTAAAAACAGGAGTCTTTCCCTCTTTGCCATGCATGATGTTCTCAAGGTCATCCCACAGGGCATCTAGTCTTCGATCACTAGCGGCAAGTCACCACACCTTTTCTGGAGGTGGTTTCTAAGTTCAGATAGGGCACACTCAAAGCCATACTTTGGCTCTTGTGGTATTATTTTAATTTTCTTCAGCTTTGACTTGAACTTGCCTATACATTGTCATCATAATGGAAAGTAATCTAAATATGGTTTTAAATTTTGACTATCATCCTAATTCTGAAACCGCTTAGTTTATATTTAATTGATAATTTTCATAGACACAATTTAAAATAGCCCTAAACTTCACTGAGATACCATGTTGTAAAACATCTTTAAATATATATATATATATTTTATATATTTTTCCCCCCTTTCCCCCAGAACATCGTAAGATCACCAAACCAAACTCACCACCGTCAGTCAAGTCGATGCCAATTCACAGCGCCCCTACAGGACAGGGTAGAACTGCCTCTGTGCAATTCTGAGGCTGTAACTCTTTATGGCAGTAGAAAGCCCCGTCTTTCTCACATGGAGTGACTGGTGATTTTGAACTGCCAGCCTTGCAGACCATAGCCATAGGTACAAAGTCAATTTTACTTGACATGTATATTGCTCAACAGAGAGATTGCAAGTCTTCTCAACCAGAGAACTGGAGGTTAGATCCTAAAGAAGGATACTAGTGTGTCTGTTGCCAGCTAGATATTACGGTTCAACAAGGCATGTGTGCACCAAGATGCTAGTCGGGCTGCCATACTGTCTACTTTAAAGCAATGGGTTGTGAGTGTGTGTTCTAGGAAGGCTGCTAACTTACAGTGACTTTGGTCAGCCTCAATTTCTGTGAGCCACAATTCCCTCAGTCCTCACTGAGGAGAGTGTGATATGTACCTGCTCTGGGTGATAGAATCTGTATGAAAGGAAAAAGGAAATAACATGACAGTCCTTTTTGCAAGTCTGAACACTAGTCCACCCATGAGCCTGACGCTATCTTTCTCCTCACACGCAGCCATGTAGACTCATGTCTATTCACACAGCTCACAGCTGCCCTTCTCAGCCTTTCAACTTCACAGAGAAAAGTTCTTCCCACATATTTCAGCCAAACCCCCAACGCCCGGTCTTATCTCTCTGTCACATCTCAGAATAGCAGTACAGTACACTGGGTCTCTGGTTGAGAGACTCAGGACCTATAACAGACCAAGACTTATCCAGCAACCAGCCACTTGTGAAGCACCGATGTGAGAATGCCCAATGAACCGGAATGTCAGCTGCTACGGCACTTCATGGCCATGTGAAGGATCCGAGCCCGGTCTCACACTGTGGCGCAAACATACCAGCTCACCTGAAATGGGTATTTATTTTGGCAGGGAATGACACCATCTTCAATCTTCACTGTTTCCACACACTTGATTTTTGAAACATCAATAAACCCTTTTCTGTATTTTTTCTGTGAAGAGAAAAAAGAAGAAGGCTCATTGCAAACAATTAAAATACAGGCAGAAAAATAGCTATTAAAAGCAATATTTGCTAATAAAATCATTGATCCAAAATATTACAAATTCCTAATGATATATACCACATGGTTTAATTGTTGAACTTGAACAAAACATTACCATGGTAAAAGCTACAATCAAATTATGAGATCATTTAAAACTTGTAATGATGAAATTGTTCTGCCCCACTACCAAAGTTCTAGAACCAGGAGAATGGACTATCTTCGTTTCTGCCCTTTCTACTCAGACATACACCTTTTCCAACATCTTCTATTTCTGATGAGAGTTCCCCAAAACAAAAAATCAGAGACCAAATTGCAGCAAAATTCCACTTACCCAGCCACAACCCCCACCTCCAGCTAACTCTGGTCCCACCCCGACCCCTACTCCCTAGCAGAGAGAGCACACAGAGTCCAGTGGGTGTGAGGTGCGGCAGGCTTCCACAGAAAATCTCCATATTTGATGCTCCAATTTCCCCCCCCCCATATTATTGGCCTATAATAAAAAGAGTTGTGAAATCAACACCACAATCAGTTTAAGAACATTTTCTTCATTCCTGTGCCCAGAATTATTAGCTCCTCATTAACACCACCCCACCCCCACCCCACCCCGCCCACCTATCTTCCCTGCCATAACCCCGAGGAACTGTTAATCTAGTATTAGCTATGCTGGATCTCATATGAAGAAAATCATACCAAAAAAAAAAAAAGACAAGAAAATAAAGCACAGAAACACCTCAATCCAAAAGAAAGTAGAAAATAATAGGAACTAGAACAAATTACAAATTGGTCAGAGAAGAAAAGTACTGATAACATGTTAAAGTTGAACCTAAGTTTACATATCTCCAGTGATCCACTTCCCAATGCACTCAGTCTGAGGCGGGACTGTTCACGTCCCCCGTCAATGTCTGACGGAGTTCAGTGGAGGCTCAATCCGAGCGCAGACTCTGCAAAGGAACGTGGGGCTTTCACAGTCAACCTCAGCCTTCTCAAACCTTTAGCACTGCCCTCCCACATCCTCGCTAACAGATTGGCCTCTTGAAATGAATCGATGGAATATTAAACCCAGAAAATTATCCACACTCTTGAACACAGCAGCCCCACTCCTGGGAATTCATCCCAGGGAAAAAGCATCCAAAAGAATACAATGCGATAGGTGCAAAAAGTAACTGATGTAATGTGGCCATTAAAAATTATATTAGACACCCCATGTAGAAAATATAAAAATGTTCACACAATAATATGAATGGACACATTCTAAACAGAAAGTTGGAGAACCACGGTTACGCTTTCACGTGTTCCTGTGATAAAGAACAGGAGAACAGGCAGTGATGACGAATGCTGTTGGACTTGGGGAGAGCCCAGCTAACTCTGGCCACGTGTCCCTAAGATCACGCCAACTCCTACTCTGAAACTCTCCCTTCAGCCTTTGGGCCTCCCACCCCGTGTCCTGTACAACTGCCCCCCTCCCCCCGCCAACCCAAACCACTTCCACCCCTGCCAAGTGGATTCCAACTCACAGTGACTAGACAGGGCAGAGTAGAACTGTCCCCAAAGGTTTCCAAAGCTGTATTCTTTATGACATGTAGATATGAAAGTTGGACACTGAATAAGGAAGACAGAAGAAGCATGGTTGCATTTGAATTATGGTGCTGGTGCAGAATATTGAAAGTACCGTGGACTGCCAAAAGAACAAACAAATCTGTCTTGGAAGAAGTACAGCCAGAATGCTCTTCAGAGGCCAGGATACAGAGGCTTCCTCTCAAGTACCCTGGAAAAAGCAGTCCCCTGAGAAGAACATCCTGCTTGGTAAAGTGGAGGGGCAGCAAAAAAGAAGACCCTCAACAAGATGCACAGACACCGTGGCTGAAACATAAGAACATTAGTGAGATGACACAGGGCCAGGCAGGGGTCGTTCTGTTGTGCAGAAGGTCACTATGAGTCAGAAATAACTCAATGGCACTTAGCAACAACAAGGATCTTGAGAGCAGCAACTTTCTCCTGCGGACCAACAGCCAACCTTTCCATAGCAGTTGAGTGCTTTAACCATTGCGCTACAAAGATGCTTCTCACTTAGTGCCAGCCAGATATGACTTAGTTCTTTTTTTTTAACCATTAAATCATCTTCTTGGGAGCTCATACAACCATT